ATGATGATGATGATGATGATGATGATGATGATGATGATGATGATGATGATGATGATGATGATGATGATGATGATGATGATGATGATGATGGTGGTGATGATGCTGGTGGTGGTTACGATTATGATCATGGTGCTGCTGCTTCTGATGATTAGGAGGAGGAGGAGGGGTTGAAGGAGGTCCTGCTGTGAGGCTGAACTGCAGTCTCAGGCTGGCATCGCGCGCGTGCTTCCAGCGGCTCCCTGAGACCTCCAGGACTGAGCTGGCGGTGAACGGTGGCGTTCCGGCAGGCGAGGGGGAGGAAGGGGGGAGGGAGGAGGGGAGGAGGGAGGGAGGCAGGTGGAGGGAGGAGAGAGGAGGGGGCGAGGGAGGATGGCAGAGGGAAGGGGGAGAGGGAAGAGGGACGAGGCACAGCGATGACTGTGGTGACAGTGACGACAGCGATGACTCCAACGACGACAGCGCCGACGCTGCCGACGACGCCAGCGAAGTCGCTGACGACGACAACGCGACGACGACGGCACGACGACGACGGACCATCCCGACCGTGTTTGAACAGCTGTGGCGACGAGAACCTCCAGAGATGCCCCCCGGACCTCGGAGACGACGCCGACGACCACGCCGACGGTGCCGACGCCGGCGACGACGACCGCGAGGACAGCGCCGATGCCGCCGCCGACGGCGACGCCGACTGCGCCGCCGCCGCCGCCGACGCCGAGCCTCCCGCGCAGGTCGCCGCTGCGCCGCGCTCCGGCCGCCGCCGCCGGCGACGCCCTCGGCGCGTCGTCCCCGCGGCGCTCGCCGACGCCCTCGCCGACGCCCTCGCCGACGCCCTCGCCGCCGTTGCCGGGCACCGTCATCGGCCTCGTGAGCAGGGGCCCTGACGCTTCGCCAAGGTGCTCGTGGGAGGAGGACGAAGGCGATGGTGTAGTGACGGTGGATCTGGCTATGGCGGCGATGGTTGAGGATGATCGGTGGTGGATGGGTGGTGTTCATGAGGATGTGTATGATGGTGGTAATGTTGCAGCTGTTGCTGCTGCTGATGATGATGACGACGGACGGTGGTGGTGGTGATGACGACGACGATGATGATGATGATGATGATGATGCTGATGATGATGATGATGATGATTATGATGATGATGATGATGATGATGATGATGATCTTGGTGATGGTGATGGTGATGGTGATGGTGATGGTGATGATGACGACGATGATGATGATGATGATGATGATGATGGTGGTGGTGGTGGTGATGATGATGATGATGATGATGCTGATTATGACGATGATGACGGCGATGATTGCGTTGACGATGACGCTACTGACTATAGTGGTGGTGGTGCTGGTGTTGATGCTGACGATTATGGTGATGATCCAGCTGTTTACGAACAGGCCCGCGACCGTGCCTGGGTTGTGGGTTATGGGTGGTGTTTGTTGGGATCTCGTAAGGGGCTTCGCGGGGGTCTCTTGGAGGTAGTTTTGATGCCCCTCGGGGCGGTTTTGGGGCCTCTTGGGGGCATCTTGGGGGTCTCTTGTGGCCTCCTAGGAGCCTCTTGGGGGCCTCTTCGGGGCCTCTTGGGTGCCTCTTGGGGCCTCCTAGGGGCCCCTTGGCGCGGAAGGCTCGGATTTTCGGTTCGTGTTCCCTCTCTGGGGCCCCTTTTTTGGGCCGTCTTGGGCACCTCTTGGGCCGCTCTTAGGTCGTCTTAGGGCCTTCTTGGAGGCCTCTTGGGCCGTTTTGGGGTGGTCTTGGGGGCCTCTGAGGCCGTCTTGGAGCGTCGGAAAGCTGAAATGGCGAGAACGCCAGCATCCTTACACCACGCAAGGCAGACCAGTGATTTCTGCCTTTGGAGGCCCTCTTGGGAGACCTCTTGGAGGTCTCTTGGGGCGCCTGGGAAGCCTCGTGCGTCATCTTTAGGAGACCATCTTGGGCGACTTCGAGCGATCTTTCGGCGACTCGGGGCCTTCTGGGACCGTCTTTGGGGCTCCTGGAAGCCCTGGAGAGCCCTAGGGAGCCGCCATGGCCGCCCAGGGACCCCGCGCGAGTAGGGGTGGTGCAGGTGGGTGGGTGCATCCCGCGGCGGGGGGCTCTCTTAGAAGTCTGCATAAACCTTGCCGGGCAGCCCTTGACATTATTCCACGCCTCAGCGTGCTGCAGGCACGGTGGTGGATGAGTATGTTCATGAAGATGATGCTCTTGCTGATAATTATGGTGGTGGTGGTGATGATGATGATAATAATGCTGCTGATTAGGATGATGATGATGCTGATGGGATGATGATGCTGCTGATGATGATGTCGATGTTGATGATGCTGATGCTGATGACGACGATAATGATAATGCTGCTGATGATGATAATGAGTATGCGGATGATGGTGATGCTGACGACGATGATGGTGATGATGATGCTGCTACCGCCGATGATGATGCTGACGATGATGATGATGATGATGATGGTGATGATAATGCTGATGATGAAGATGACAATGATGATGATGGTGATGCTGATGATGGTTATGATGATGATGATGACGCTGATGATGATGATGATGCTGATGATGATGATGATCATGATGACGGTGATGATGCTGATGATGCTGATTATGATGATGATGACGATGACGATGATGATAATGCTGATAATGCTGGCGATGATGAGGAGGAGCAGGATTATGATGAGGCTGGTGTTGATGATGATGGTGATGGTGATGCTGATTCTGACGCTGATGATGAGGATGATGATGATGGTGATCATGATGATGATGATCATGAGGATGATGAGGATGATGATGTTGATGATGATGATTATGATGATGATGATGATGATGATGATGATGATGATGATGATGATGGTGATGGTGATGCTGCTGATGATGGTGATGAAACTGCTGATGATTAATGATGACTATGATGGTTATGATGATGCGGATGATGATACTGATGCTGCTTCTGACGCTGATGATGAGGATGATGATGATGATGATGATGGTGATGATGATGATGATGATGATGATGACGGTGATAATTCCGGTGATGATGATGAAGCTGATGATGCTGTTTCTGACGCTGATGATGAGGATGATGATGATGATGGTGATGATGATGATGATGATGATGCTGATGGTCATGATGCTGATGCTGATGGTTATGCTGATGCTGATGCTGATGGTGACGGTGATGGTTCTGCCGCTGATGCTGCTTCTGCTGCAATTGATGCTGATGATGACGGCAATGCTGATGATGACGACGACGTCGACGACGACGAGAAGGAGGAGGAGGAGGAGGAGGAGGGGGATGATGACGATGATGATAATGCTGCTGATGCTGATGATGATAATGCTGCTGATGATGATGACGATGATGATGGTGATGATGATGATGATGATTCTGATACTGATGATGCTGATTATGGTGATGATGATGATCATGATGATGATGATGATGATGATGATGATGATGATGATGATGATGCTGATTCTGCTGATTGTGATGGTGATGATTGTGATGGTGATGATGCTGATTATGATGATGATGATGGTGCTGCTAATGCTAATGATGATGATGCTGATACTGATGCTGATGATGATGCTGATGATGCTGATGATGACGATGATGATGCTGTTGCTGCTGATAATGATGATGCTGCTGATGATGATGATGATGGTGATGCTGCTGCTGATGGTGATGCTGCTGCTGCTGCTGATGATGATGATGATTGTGGTGGTGGTGATGATGATGATGGTGATGCTGATGGTGATGATGATGATGATGATGATGATGAGGAGGAGGAGGAGGAGGAGGAGGAGGAGGAGGATGATGATGATGATGATGATGATGACAATGATGATGATACTTCTGCTGCTGCTCATGATACTGCTGCTGCTGCTGATGATGATGCTGATGATGATCTTATGCCTCGCCGAGGTCCTCGCCGAGAATCCGGGATCGAGGTTCTGGATCTTTGGGTTTCTTCTTTTGCTTTGAGGCGTCCGGAGGCCAGAGCGTCTCGCCGATGTCCTCGCCGATTCCAGGATCGAGGTTCCAAGTTCGTGGACTTTCGGGACACGTCGGCGGCCTCGGAAAACCTACGCGTTGATCGGTCCTTCGCGGGCCTGCGGAGGCAGTCAGAGTCCGTCGCCGTCGTTGTCGCCGCCGCCGTCATCGTCGCCTTGGCCACGCCCTGCGCCGTCGCAGTGGCCGCCTCCGCCGCGACCGTCGCCAGTGCCGCCAATGCCCGGGTAGCCGCCGCCGGACGCCGTCGGGTCGCCGCCGCTGCCTGGGGCGCCCCGCCGAGGTCCTCGCCGACCAGGGCTGACGAGGCGGTGTTCGGCTCCATGCCGAGGCGCGCGAGCATCGCCGAGCGATGCGACGGTGAGCTGAGCTCCGCGCGGCTCAACCAGCAGGGCGCGGCGCGCTCGGTCCTGCGCCAGCACCCGACGGACTTCAAGGCCAAGATGCTGTGCCGCATGCTTCAGGGCAGCTCGAGGCCGCGGGAGGGGCCGCGCGTGACCTTCCAGGAGCAGCAGCCAGAGCAGAGCTCGCCGCCCAGGTGGTACCTCGACATGCTGGTGGAGTCCAAGCTCCCAGAGGAGCCCAGAGGTCGGGGGGGGGGGGGCTCGGCCTCTGGAGGTCGCCCCCGCCCAGCGGACGGCGGCGACGACGACGTACGACGAGTTCCGACGGCCCCTGGGACGACGATCCTCGACGGCCTCTCGAAGTCTCCAGCGGGGTCCCCCAGAATCTCCATCTGTCTCGGAGGTCAGCGGGGGTTTGCGTGGGACTCGGCAGACCCGTGGAGGCCCGAGCCAGTGCCCAAAGGCAGCTCGAACGCTCAGCTCTCGAACTTCGGATTCGGAGCCTCTGGAGGAGCCCCCAGCGGCTGCGCATCCGCCGCCCGCCGCGACGCCGCCCGCCACGCCCCCGCGGGCGCTGACGCCGCCGTCCCGCCGGCGCGACCCCGCGCGCGACGCGGCGAGGCAGGGCGCTGACGCGCCCGCCCGACGGACGCCGGCGCGGCAGGGCGCTGGCGGCGAGGCAGGGCGCTGGCGGCGCTGAGCCGAGCGGGGGCGCCCTCGGCCCCAGCGCGCGCGTGCGCCCAGCCCCGCCGGCAGCGCTGGCAGCGCGCGCCCCACCAGCAGCGCGCTCCGGTGGCGGCGCGCCGAGCTCAGGGGCAACGTTGGGGGGCATGGGCCCGTGCATCCCCCAAGCGGTCATGCATCGCCAGCAGGGGCCTGATGGCCCACCTAGCCCAGGAGCGCGCGGGTTCGCGGTTTCCAGGGCCTGTCGCCGATCAGTCGGCGTGTATCCTTTCTTTTTTTCCAGCTCGATGCTTCACCCCCCCGAGCCGGTGCCCCTCGAGCGTTGCCCCTCGGCCGAGCGGTGGCGGCGGCCCTCCCCCTGCGCGGCATGGCGCGCAGGCTGGGTGGCGCGTGTGCGTCCCGGGGCGCGCAGGGGGCGGGGACTGGGTCGCCTTAAGTCGGGCCTGTCCCCCTACAGGGGGGTTTTCGACGACAAATAAAAGATTATCCCGGGAAAGCAACCTAACAGCGATGTGTATAAGCATATTTGGAAGGATTCCCCTTAAGATTCAGGTGAGAATCCAGTTGTAGAATTCTGCTGTTCTCGCAGTCGCAGTCGCATTCGCAATGGCAGTCACAGTGGCAACGGCCTTAGGATCCAATGGAATCCTAAGGATTCCCAGGGATTCCTAAGGCATCCTTAGGAATCCATAGGAATCCTTAGGAAACCTTAGGAATCCTGATTCCTAGGGATTCCTGGGGATTCCTAAGGATTCCTAGGGAATCCTACGGATTCCTAAGGATTCCTGAGGATGCTTAACTATGCCTACGGATTCCTAAGGATGCCTACGGATTCCCAAGGATTCCCAGGGATTCCTAAGGATTCCTATGGATTCCTACGGATGCCTCAGCCTGCCTCAGTTTCAGCCTCAGCCTGCCTCGGCTTGCCTCAGCCTCAGCCTCAACCTCAACCTGCCTCGGCCTCAGCCTCAGCCTGCCTCAGCCTCAGCCTCAGCCTGCCTCGGCCTCAGCCTGCGTCAGCCTCAGCCTCAGCCTCGGCCTCAGCCTACCTCGCTTTGCCTCAGCCTCAGCCTCAGCCTGCCTCGACCTCAGCCTGCCTCGGCCTCAGCCTGCCTCAGCCTCCCCTCCTCCCCCCCCCCCCCTTCCCCCCCCCAGTCAGCCTCACCTTGTCTCAGCTTCGGCCTGCCTCGGCGTCACCCTCAGCCTCAGACTCAGTCTCAGCCTCAGCCTGTCTCGGCCTGAGCCTGCCTCGGCCTCAGCCTCAGCCTGCCTCAGCCTCAGCCTGCCTCATCCTCAGCCTCAGCCTCAGTCTCAGCCTCAGCCTGTTTCGGCCTGAGCCTGCCTCAGCCTCAGCCTCAGCCTGCCTCAGCCTCAGCCTGCCTCAGCCTCAGCCGCAGCCTGCCTCAGCCTCAGCCTCGGCCTGCCTCAGCCTCGGCCTGCCTCAGCCTCAGCCTGCATCAGCCTCAGCCTCAGCCTGCCTCAGCCGCAGCTTGCCTCAGCCTCAGCCACAGCCTCAGCCTCAGCCTCAGCCTCAGCCTGCCTCAGCTTCAGCCTCAGCCTCAGCCTGCCTCGGCTTGCCTCAGCCTCAGCCTCAGGCCTCGGCCTCAGCCTCAGCCTCAGCCTGCCTCAGCCTCAGCGTCAGGCTCTCAGCCTCAGCCTGCATCAGCCTCAGCCTCAGCCTCAGCCTGCCTCAGCCTCAGCCTCAGCCTGCCTCAGCCTCAGCCTGCCTCAGCCTCAGCCTCAGCCTGCCTCAGCCTCAGCCTGCAGCAGCCTCAGCCTCAGCCTGCCTCAGCCTCAGCCTGCCTCAGCCTCAGCCTGCCTCAGCCTGCCTCGGCGTGCCTCAGCCTCAGCCTCAGCCTGCCTCGGCCTCAGCCTGCCTCGACCTCAGCCTGCCTCAGCTCGGGCATTCAAAATATGGCACAGGACTGGTGTTCTGGGAACGCGAAGATCACGACGTGGCCCAAAGTTGTCTCTGGGCAATCAAAATATGGTACAGGAATTGTGTTCTGGGAACACGAAGAGCACGAAGTGGCTTACAGTTGGCTCCGGGCATTCAAAATGTGGCCTGGGAGTGGTGTTCTGGGAAGACGACGAACACGAAGTGGCCTACAGTTGGCTCCGGGCATTCAAAATGTGTCCTGGGAATGGTGTTCTGGGAAGACGAAGAACACGAAGTGGCCTACAGTTGGCTGTGGGCATTCAAAATGTGGCCTGGGAACGGTGTTCTGGGAACAGAATCTGTCTGCACAGGAATCCATAGGAAATTATCGGAATCTATAGGAGTCCTGGGGAGTCCCCGGATTCCCCGGATTCCCCCGGCATCCGCCCAGACCCCCCTGGGGAGTCAAGATGCTCTCTTTTGACCCCACTAGAAACCTATCAGTCTTCGCTGTTAGGTATATACCCCCAAAGTAGTCAACAAATAGTCCAAAAATGATCTGGGGACTTTTTTTATAGCATTTTTTGACCTTTTTGGATTATGTTTAGGGTATTTTGTATTTTTCGTCGAAAATCCCCCTGTAGGGGGACAGGCCCGACATAAGGGTCGCCGGAGGTTTTTTGGTGGTGGGCTGCCCGTGCCCCCCTGCAGGATCGTGGAGCCCGCGCGGGCCCACGCGGGCGGAGGCTCCTCCTTCTCCTCCTCTGTAGCGCGGAGGCTCCTCCTCCTCCTCCTCCTCCTCCTCCTCCTTCCACTCCTTCCACTCCTCCTTCCACTCCTGCTTCTCCCCTCCCCTCCTCCCTTACGTAGCCTCCCCACCTTTGCCTCCTGCTAGTGCACGGCGCTCCTCGGGATGAGGGCGAGGAGGAGGGGGAGGAGCAGTATAAACCCAAGAGTCATCAACGATGCTGGAATACACCCTCCCTCCAAGCTCCTTCATAGGCCCCTAAAACGGTTCATTTCCACAGGGAACTGCCTCGTTGGAAGACAACCGTTTGAAGACCCTGAAGCATGCCAAAACATTGTTCTCGGGACTCCAACGCCACGGATCAACCAGACTGTTGCGTCTTGACGATCCTGAATCGTGCCAGAACGCCATTCCTAGGACCTCAAGACCGCGAATCAACGTAACGATTGCGCCCTCATAACCCTGAGTCTTTTCAAAACACTATTTCTGGTACGTCGATCATGAACATCCGCGAGACTCATGCATTTTTGAAACGACTGTGCGCGGCGCTAAGGCGAGACCCACGTTTCGAAAAGGAACCGCCCTCAATCCGTGAGACTCTTACACATTTTTGATGCGAATGTGGGCGGCGCTGAGGCGAGAGCCACATCTTGAAAATGACCTGCCCTTCATCCGTGAAGCTCTTGCAAATTTTTAAAGTGCATGTGCGCGGCACTGAGGCGAGAGTCACATTTTGAAGACGGCCCGCCCTTAATTCGCGTAAGTCTTGCAATTTACAAAAAACGAATGTGCGCGGCGCTAAGGCGAGAGCCACATTATGAAAACGATCCGCCCTTAATCCGTGAAGCTCTTGTAAATTTTAACGAATGTGCGCGGCGCTAGGGCGAGAGCCACAGTTTGAAAACCACCCGCCCTCAATGTGCATAATTGTTGTAATTTTGTAAGCTTCAGGGTCGCAAATGGTGAGGAAGTCTCAGGCGCAACGCCCGGCCAGACCTAAAAGCTGGCCTCGGGGTGCGTCAAGGATAAGTTATTTATGGGGAAAAGGAATGGAGGAGGAGGAGAAGAAGGATGAGGAGGAGGAGGGGGGGAGGAGGAGCAATCTGATGATGAGGGGCGTCGGCAACAGTAGACGGCAAAGGATTCATGATGTTGGTATTTGGTTGTGGCGATAATACAGATGGTGGTGATGATGACGATGGTGGTGGTGTTGGTGTTGGTGGTGGGGGTCATGATGACATTGATAACGTTGGGGATTGCGATTGTGGTGATTTTGATGAGGATGGTGATGCTGGTGGTGACGATGGAGGTGAGGATTCGGATGACGGCCATGATGATAGCGCTGCTGATGATGGTGCTGCTGATACAGACGATTCTATTAGAATGTTGATACTGATTATCATGATGATGATGATGATGATGTTGAGTAGTCTGATGCTGATGACGATGGGTAAGATGAATGGGGATGAGGATTACGATAAATACAATGATGATGCTGGTGGTGGGGATGAGTATGATTATGATGCTGCTGATGATGATGACGAGGACGAGAACGCACAAGAGGAAGAAGCATACGGTGCTGATATGTTTATTGATGATGATACCGATGCTGATGATGCTGATGATGATGTGGAGGATGAGGAGCAACACGTGGATGATAAGAAACCAGTGTGATGACGTACATGGTGATTATGCTGGTGATGATGATGACGGTTATTCTGGCGATGATGATGATGATGATGATGGTGATGCTGATGCTGCTGATGCTGATGCTGATGCTGATGATGATGATGATGATGTTGAGAATGATGTTGCTGCCGCTGATGATTACAATGCTGATGCTGATTATGATGACGACGATGGGTACGATGACGATTCTGATGATGATGATGCTGATGCTGATGATGCTGCTGATGGTTATCATGCTGATGCTGCTGCTGCTGATGATGATACTGATGCTGATGATAATGATGATGACTATGATGGCAATGAAGATGTGGATGGCGACGACGATGATGATGATGCTGTTGCGACAACGATGCTAATGGTGATGGTGCATCATCAAATTACTGATGATGACGATTATGCTTATGGTGATGCTGCTGCTGATGATGCTGATGATATGATGATGATGCTCCTGATGATGATGATGATGGCGACGACGAGGACTGCGACGACGATGATGATGCTGATGAGGATGATGATTATGATGATGGTGGTGATGATGATGATGACGATGATGACGCGGAGGAGCAGGATGAGGAGGATGATGAGAGGGAGAAGAAGGGGGGGTAGCAGGAGGAGGAAGAGGATCAGGAGGGGAAGGAGACAGGCTCCGTTCTTCTTTCTCCCTCTTCTCGTACCTCGGCTCCTCGATCTCATGCTATGCATTCTCAATCCCAGAGCAGACGCATGATCGGGGCTTCTCCCTCCCTTCTTCTCGATTGTGCTGATTCTGTTTCTCGGGGCACACAAACGATATGGTCGCACCCATCATTTACAGACTAATTCTGGTTCAGGACCGATGTCGAGGCATACACGTGCCCAGGCGTCCGACTTCACGGTTTGCCCCCTCGGCCCTTTTTCGGGGGCAACGTTTTCATCCCAGGCAGTTTTTTGGACGGAGGCCAACACGATTCGAACACCTGGCCGTCGCTATTTTTCTGGCGGCGCTTCGATGATGATGATGATGATGATGATGATGATGATGATGATGATGATGATGAAGCTGATGATGATGATGATGACGATGATG